AWWWWAAAAAGATGAAATTAACRTAGAGAAATTGTGTTTCCTGTGAAAATGCTAGTGTGAATGCTTCATGCTGAAAACTGCTGAAATTGAGCTGAAAATATTTAATAGGAAAAGTGTTAATACTTTGTATTAACACTTTACTTTGAAAAACTGAAAGAAGCAAAAATGCCTAACTTTGCATAAAAACTGTTAAAGGAGCACAAATCTAGCTGAAAACAGAAAACAGCTAAAAGCTAAGAGCTAAAATAGCTGAATATAGCTGAAAACCTGTAAGAAGCATAAATAACACTAGGTAGTAGAAAAAAGCAGAATAGCAGAAAGACGCAGCTCTATAGCTAAAGTAGCATAAAATAGGCTAAAGGCAGCAGGCACACGTTGAAATTAGCACCCAGATAGAGAAATTCTTGTAAAAATTTGTAAAACTAGCAGAAAAAAAATGCATATAAGTTAAAAAAGTGATAATTTAAAATGGCTAAAACAGCTGAAATTTTCAGTTAAACAGCTAAAAAGTAGCTGGATTTTTTTAATATTTAGCATAAGGAAGCATGAGAAGCACAAGTTTGCTGAACTTAACTGAAAAAAGTTGTGATAGCTACAAAAAATGTCTATTTAGCTTAGAAAAGCTAACTTTAGCTAATAGCAGCAAAACATTAGCTAAAATGTCATCAAATAGCTTGAATATAGCAGTAAGCATCTGTAAGAAGCATAAATAGCACAAAGTAGCAGAAAAAGGCACAAAAAAGCAGAACAGCAGCAGAAAGAAGCAGAATTCTAGCTGAAATAGCAGAAAAAAGCTAAAATTAGCAAAAAATGTGGCTAAAATTAGGTCAAAAACGTGAAAAAGAGCACAACCAGAACAAAATGTGTAAGGTGCTGTAAAGATTTAGAAACATTTTAGAGGATTTTAAGGATGTTGAAAACAGCTCCATTCATTTTCAGTGGCTAAAATTTATGAAGTAGCTAAAAAAAAAAAAATAGAACGCTGAAAAACCAATAGTCTTAGCACCCCTCACATGAATGAGCTGAAGGTTTTGGTATATGAATTGTTGAAATAGCACAAAAATTGTRGAACGAGTTAGATGCTGAAAAACATAATTACAGTAGTTAACAGTTATTTTTTCATTCAGTTTTTTTGTATTTKTGCTGTGCCAACGTCACCCTGCACCCCTCCAGTTATCGAGCTTTTGATTAAATCTAAACTCTGCAGGGGTGGCAAGGATCGAAAAAGTCCTGATCGCCAACCGTGGGGAGATTGCGTGTCGTGTGATGCGCACGGCGAGGAAGATGGGCGTGCGTTCTGTGGCGGTGTACAGCGACGCAGACAGACACTCCATGCATGTGGCCATGGTGAGACAATCAGAAAAAATATTCTCATCATATCTCTGACAATATGATGTTGCTTTAAATGCTTCAGTGCCAGTTTCATAAGCACAAATGATTCGTTCATTATAAACAAAAGTGGTATACATTAATATTTATTGAGAAATATAATATTTAACAATAAAGCTAGCACAACACTTGTTCTAAATATGGAATGCAAACTTTAAACATGACAAACTGACCAGGGGATCAAATGAATTGATATTGATGCATTGATGAATTGATATTTTCTCCTTGTTCTCGTTTCCAGGCAGATGAGGCCTTCCACATCGGGCCGCCTCCTTCCCAGCAGAGTTACCTCTCAATGGAGAAGGTTTTAGAAGTGGCCAAGAGGTCAGGATCACATGTGAGTAACATGACACGAGAATATTTTCCAACTCATGTTGCTTTTCATCTTAAAATCATCCTCAGGTTTATTGTTTTTTTTTTAAAGGAGACCAATTATGGGTCCTAGAAATTTTTATGGTATGTCTGTGGGCTATCCAGACCATGTTCATTCAGTTTAATGCACAAAATAATTCTCAGATAATAATATTTCCCATTTTCTAGTTCTGCCTGCTCTGACTTCCGTTCAGAAGAGCTGTTTATGTTAATGAGCTCTATTGGTAACGCCCTCCAAAAATCTKTTGACATTAACTCCGCCCTCCAAAGCCAGTGTTTACGTTAGCATGGCTAATAATAGCAGAAGCTCCGTTGTACAACTGTATACCCTGAGTCAGACCCAGAGGCAGAGTCGTGATCGCAGCTTCTTTCTTTTTTTCTCTCCCTCCTCTGCTCTGCGCTCACTCTGCATGTTGTTACCAGAGCAGGGAGCAGCAGCGGTCAAAATACCTCAGAAACTCGAACAAATAGGCTTTAACAAGGCTTTAATAAGCTAAACAATAGAGGTACAYGAGAAAACGTGTTCATAATGAACGAAAATAAATAATTTATTTGTTTGTGTCTGTGCCGGTCTCGAACTCTCTGGTTCAACACTCTACCCATTGCCTATTGGAGACTTGTTGTGAATTGAGCTGTGCATTGCACAACAACACCGTGACGGCTTTTTATACTGAGGAGGTGGGGCTTCACCCGGGTGAGGGGCTGAACGCAGGTTCCGGTGGGTTGTCGTATGGCATGTGACATCACAAAATGACGGAAGTATAAAACGTGTTGTTAATATACATTAAAAATACATTTACTTACAGTAAATATGCCCCTGGGTGCATTTCTTTGGTCCTAGGACTGTTTTTTTTAAGAAGTACATATGCAAAGTTGAGTAAAAAAACCTTTAAAAAGTGAATTTTGCACAATAGGTCCCCTTTAAATTCAATTCACTTTATTTATATAGCACCAAGTCACAACAACTGTTGTCCCAGGGCACTGTACACAAAAAAACAAAACAGTAAATCTAAAGAAGCCAGCAGACTGCGCCGAATCTTTGCTTCATCACAGTCTCCCATCTTGAGCAGCACACCAGCAGCAGAGAGGAAAATCTCCCTCTTAACAGGAAGAAATCTCCTGCAGAACCAGGCTCAGGACAGGCAGCCATCTGCCTCGACCGGCTGGGTTGAGGACAGGAAGAAGACAGTCAAACACAGAAGAACTGGTCCAGGTGCACCTTCCTCTGGAAAAGAGACAAAGAGAAAACATGTTAWAGATAGAAGTAATTATAACAAACATGTAGAGAAGAGAAACTAAAGACAAAAGCAGAGTGAGGAAATGTGCTCAGTTTGTGCTCCAGCAGTCTAAGAAATGAAGAAWAACTCAGGAAACCTAAGTCTAACTATAAGATTTATCAAAAAGGAAAGTCTTCAGTCTAATCTTAAAAGTAGACAGAGTGTCAGCCTCACTGACAGAAACTGGAAGTTGGTTCCACAAGAGAGGAGCTTGATAACTGAAAGCTCTGCCTCCCATTCTACTTTTAGAAACTCVAGGAACCACAAGTAAACCTGCAGTCTGAGAGCGAAGTGCTCTGTTAGGAAAATATGGAACAATAAGATGTTTAATATATGATGGAGCTTGGTTGTTAAGAGCTTTGTATGTTAGGAGTAAAATTTTAAATTCTATTCTGAATTTGACAGGGAGCCAGTGGAGAGAAGCTAAAACTGGAGAAATATGATCTCTCCTTYCAACTCTCATTAAAACTCTAGCAGCAGCATTTTGGATTAACTGAAGACTTCTTAAAGAGTTTTTTGGACCCAGATAATGAAGAATTACAGTAGTCCAGTCTAGACGTGATAAATGCATGAGTCAGTTTTTCTGCATCATTTTTGGACAAAATATTTCTAATTTTAGTGATATTATGCAGGTGGAACAAGGCGGTCCTGGTAACATTTTTAATGTGGAGGTTAAAAGACATATCCTGATCAAAAATAACACCAAGGTTCTTTACATTAGAACTGGAGACCAGATAAATGCCGTCCAGAGGAGGTGAAAGGCTACAAAGTTGATTCCTAAGATRTTCAGGTCCAAAAACCATAACCTCTGCAGGGTTTCCCCTACACGTAATTGATCGTGGCGCACCACCACTGCTAAATAAAAGCCGCCACACCTTCGGAATGAAGGTGTTTTTTTGTTTTTTTTAATCAACATAAAATGGGTTGACACAATCATGTCCGAGACAACCTGTTTTCGTTTTGGACAACCAGATCCCACCTCCCGGTTGTCCGGTGGACAACCAAGAAAAAARRMC